TACGTAGGCTGGTCCGAAAATTAAATTAAAGGTTAAACTTTCAATTTAATCCCTGAATTATTGTATAGATTTTTTATTTAGTTTTTAAATTAAAAATGTTTTGATATAGTCCCTAAATTATTGTATAGACCTCAATTTGGTTGCTACTGTTTATCAATTTACCTCAACTTGGTCTCTCCACATAAAAAAAAAATTGATGTGTTCATTACTTAATAATGAAAAATAATAAGTTAACAACTACATATCACGTTAATAATAAGATATGTCAGTTAGTTTTTGTACGGAAGAACCAAGTTGAAGTAAATTGGTAAACAGTAAAGATCAAATTGGGTTTTATACAATAGTTTAAGGACCCAATTAGAGAGTTTTTTAGTTTATAGACCAAATTGAGAGTTCATACAATAGTTTAGGGACCAAATTGAAAATTTAACCTAATTGAAAACTTTGCATGATCCTTGCATAGGCTTGAACAGAGATTAGTTTAAAGAAGAAACTGAGGTTGGTATCTGGGGAAGAATAAGAATAGGTGTCGGTTGGAACCAAATTAAGTGCACGAATGACTCGACTCAATCAAGGATGTCATATAACCTCCACCAGCCATGCCCTATATTTAACTCATTGCTTCAATATCTCTATGGAAATTACCGTCATCATCTCATCATTTTTTTAATACATCATTATTGAATTTAATCCATTTTTTTCCTTTCCTTATTGTCACTGGTTATTTATAAAATAAGTAGAGTCTATACTCTTTAAAAAAAAAAAAAAAGAACCTACAGGACAAGTGGCTCAATTTCAGAGAATTAAAGAGGATGGAGGACGGTGAGGGTGAGAAAGCTTCAAATCCTTGCCAAGATGATTTGGTAACCGTTACTTTGATTTTATAGTTTGAAATATTATTTAGGTTTAAAGAAATAAAATAAGTGCGTGCTAGTTTGACTTTTTAAAATAAATAAGAATTTTATCTTTAATATAAAAATTAAAAAAAAGTAATATTTTTGAGTATTTATTAACATTACATATTGATTAACATTTACAGTATCCACTATCCTGTTACTAAAAAATAAAGAGCACAAAGATATGAGAGAGTATTCTATAAATTGTTTTTTTGATGTTGAGTATGCTATAGTTTAATTACCCATTGGCTTATATATATTGAAAAGGGAAACTTTGAGAGGAAGGAAATATTATAAGTGTCTTTATTAAGACTTAAACTTTAGTACTAGTCAAAATTTTTGCTCCACATTATCAGCCTAACTAGGGCTACTAGTGCTACCCATTGGCTCATATAAGACATGACATCATAGTATTATAGTTCACCTAATCTAAAATAAAATAATTATGCTAATTATAAAGCATTTTCATTGGTTGTAGAAAAGTTGATGTATAAAAATTGTCTATCAAAAATTAATTATTTACACAAATAAATCTCTTGAAACCATTTGACAATAAAACATAAAAATAGCAAACATAATGATGCCCGCATATAAGATACCTAAACAATTAAATTTAATTGATTATCAAAGACGTCTTAAATTATGAATGAATGTAATAAATTTTGTTTTTGAATAAAAGTTAATTTGAAAACATCTTAAGTTTGGCCATTTGAAAAAAGAAAAATCAACATAATAAATTTAAATTTATTATTTAAAAAAAAAAAAAAAAAAACTGTACATGTTTGAAATTGTAAAATATTTTTTTAATTTGAATATTTACAAAATTAAACGAAATAATTTTGCTCGACTAGCAAAACATTTCGTGTACATTGCAGGGAGTACCACTTTATGATTTTCAGTTTTTTAAGGAATTCTGATGATTTGCGGCACGGCGTCCGTTAAGGGACTGTACTTTTTAATCTATGTCCCCGCCACCAGCAAAAGGTAAAAACCCTATGCCCTCCAATAATCTCATCGCTGCAACCTTTTGCCCTCTTTTTTGACAAAAACCAGCCCTTTAAACCCAAGGAGTGGTAAGGGGTTTGCTTCCCACACCAAACCCCCCTTTAAACCTTCGCTCAATTTACCCCTATAATTAGACTTTATTCTTCATTTCCACCTTAAAGCATAATCTAAGTGGACTATAAATTTTTATTTTCTCCTTTTCCTTTCTAAAACCAACCACAGATAAAGTAAAATGTAAATTATTATGCATTCGGTTCTGCAAAAGACCCCTAAAAGACTGCTGGTGGAACTTTGGAACGTTTGGCATTTTCACTGTATTTTTAATGGAATGTGGGAATGGGATAGTGGATGGTGATGGGCACCGGGCCCTCCTCTGTCGATGGCTCCACCCACAAGAGACCCGTCCCACCCATGGCTTGCGTATTTTAAGGATTATCCCAATCCAAGAAGCGAACAATACCCTTGTAAGAAAAAAAAAAGGAAAAACCGATTAACCCAAAAAGCTAAGAAGAAGATTCAGAATAATTTCAATTGTTCAATCTTTGCTTTTTTTTTTGCTATTTGAGAAGTCCAATTTTTTATGCCTTTTTATGGTTCCCTACAGAATCCTGTTAGCCGGGGTAATTCTCCCGTTGGCCATAGTTTTGGGTGAGTTCCCAACGAGTTTCAAGCTGGAGAGGACTATTCCGTCCAGTCAACGACTCAACCTGAGCCAACTCATTGCACGTGATGCGGCCAGGCACAGAAGGTTGTTGACGTCCTCTGGTGGGATCGTTAATTTCTCGCTTAATGGGGACTTGACTGCAGGGTAATCATATGCAATTCTGCCTTTTTATTCCTTTGATTTTACAGACAATGTCTGAATTTTTGGCTTATAAGTTTCCAAACTGGATTCTGGGTTATAGCATTCTTACTTCTTGATTGATTATGCCGAGTCATTTACAGGCTTTATTACACAAAAGTATTTCTGGGTTCTCCTCCACAGGAATTCCACGTACTGATTGACACTGGAAGTTATATTTCTTGGGTCAGTTGCAAATCCTGCCATGACTGCCCGCGGAAAAGTGAATTTCCAGTAATTTCACTTCTCTTTATGTGTATATTTCCTTAGAGATAAAGTATGAAAACGCGCGGAAGGGGTGCTTTAATGCTATATTGTTGAATCAATTAAGCTGACATGTTTTCTTTCAGTTTCAGCTAAATTTCTTTGATCCAGGGAGCTCATCAACAGCTTCATTAGTATCTTGTTCAGACCAAAGATGTAATTCAAGTCTTCAATCATCAGATTTTATCTGTGAATCTAACAGCAACCAGTGCCATTACAATATCACATATGTAGATGGCAGTGGGACGATTGGCTACTATGTCTCGGATTTGTTGCAGTTTGATACAGCTCTTAAGGGCTCTGTCACTACAAATTCTACAGGAACCATTACGTTCGGGTGAGCTAACAGAATTTCTCGAGTTTAAGATGCTAATTGCTTTAATTTATTTGTTTTTGCTTGTTATATGGTTCATAATTCATTTCTTCAAATGTTGGATTATGAAACAGGTGTAGTGTCTTCCAGAGTGGTGGCTTGACGGAGTCAAATGGAGCAGTGGATGGGATCTTTGGGTTTGGACAGCAGAATTTGTCAATTATCTCTCAACTTGCTTCAAAAGGAATAGCACCCAATGTATTTTCCCACTGTTTGAAGGGAGATAACAGTGGTGGAGGCATACTGGTTCTTGGAAAGATCGTGGAGCCCAATATAGTTTATACCTCGCTTGTCCCATCCCAGTACGTTGTTGCCTCTATTGTTTTGAGAAGTAGAGATTTTGTTAATTCTTCTGGTTATGAAAATTAACTTTATTTATTGGATTTGCTCTGCAAATTGACAGACCAGCCACAATTGACTACGAAAATTATTAGGAATCCTGATTTTAGTTTATTAATTAATTTTTTACTAACCATTTTTGCCATCAAAATGAATGTACAGGCCCTATTATAATATCAATCTACAAAGCATTTCTGTCAACGGTCGAAAGTTAGCGATTGATCCATCAGTTTTTGCAACATCAAACAACTCAGGAACAATAGTTGATTCTGGGACAACTTTGGTGGTCCTTGCAGAAACAGCTTATGATGTCGTTATTGATTCCGTAAGTTGATTCAGCATTTTTCCCATCTTCGTGAGGAAGTTTTAAGAATCCATGTTTTTTACAAAGTTCTTTTTTCTTTTTGGTATGATAGGTTTACATAACCTTCCTTGCTTCTCCTTCTCAAATCATTCCTCATCCATTTTAGAATTTAAATTTGAAATCTTTAACATAAACTGTTAGACTTTTTACTACCATGGTAGGTGTTCAGAAGCACTATTGTTTAATGAGACATACAGTTACACAAGTATAAATATGGTTAATTACAGATAATCTCCATTCAATTATATATTTTTATGTGCATATATAGATCAATAGCACTGTTTTACCATCAGCGCTTCAAACAATCACCGAACAATTCTCATGGAATGAAGAGCAATGCTATTCATTCAAATCCAGGTTCATCTCCTGATACAATACTGTCTCATTTCTTGTTAAGTACTGTTCAATCTTCTAAGATGATTCCAACTCAAAGACTCGCTGTTGATATTTTGCTCAGTGACAATGTCCCTACCATATTTCCCCAAGTTAGTTTCAACTTTTCTGATGGCGCATCCATGATTTTGAACCCTCAAGATTATCTTTTACTGCAGAAAAACACCGTAAGTTGTCAAAATGTAAAGATATATGCATTCATGTACATATATACATGGATTAACAAATGCTCACATGATAATTAATAATCAATATTGATGCTCTATTTGCACTGCCGGTCTTTCTCTTAGCCTGGTTTTGGTTGCATGGCGGATGCATATTGGAAAATAGCTTCATTCCTTTTCTAACTATATATGATGGCTGAATTTGGTACTACAGAATGGTGTTGCAACTTGGTGCCTTGGCTTTGGGAAAATACCAGGATCAGAACAGACGATTTTAGGAGGTATTTTATGTAGCCGGACATTCTTCTAATAGAATTTACATCATTTAAGGGACAATAATATATAATCTCACACTCACAAGCATAAAGTTTTGAGTTCCATTATTTTGAACCATATATGGTGCATTTTTTACATTGCAGTACGTTCTACACTTTAATCATTTTAATGTTTATAATTGGTTCCATTAAATCCAACCTTCATGTCTATGTTTTTGCAGATGTAATTTTACAGGACAAAATCGTTATTTATGATCTAGACAATCAAACAGTCGGATGGGTAAACTATGATTGTAAGTCTCAATTACCCCTTTAGAACGAGCATCAAACATACTTACAAACTTTTGATATGCTAGAGCAAGTGGTTCAGACTTGTGGAATAAGGGGGATGGGGAGAAAAAGCAGAAGTTTGAACTCTATGTGGAAGTTTTTTATGCTAATTTAACAACACTTATAAAGTTATTTGAATTTAACCTTCTTTTTTCAAATATATAATAATAATAATAATAACGAAAGGTATATATATAGCTAAAAAATATTTTATCATTCAAATTAATTTAAATTGTAAAATATTAACTATTTAATAAGAGTAAAGATAATTCATGTTATATAATTTGAATCATTCTAAATTCTAAAACAAAATTCTCTATATATAACCTGTGAGTTTTCATTTCTTGAGTTTACATTGATACCGAATTCCAATGAATTCCAATGCCTTACGTTTTCAGGTTCACAGTCAGTTAATGTCTTGACGATCAACGGGACACTGATTAGCGTACAGGCAGAACAACCGAATAACAATAACAGTCCACCTTCACCAAGTTATAGTTACTTCGTAAGCATAATTATGCTTGTTATTGTATTGTAATATTTCGGTAGCATAAGTATACACTAGTAAAGAGGTCTGGAACCCTGCTATCTATCCCACTAGTTTGCAATTACATAGGCCCCAAATACATGTAACGTTTCCAATTTCATTTTGTAATTTAATCTTTACAAGAAGTTTCTAAACCAAATCAAAAGAAAAGCAGTGAATTTTACTGCATCCGGTAAGAAGCCCAGCAGCCTTCTTCTGAACTTCTTTAGGTGATTTGCTCAATAATCAATCAAAATAACAAATAACCATACAATGTGAGAACCATGAAAGATGGAACTTTTAAAAGAGAGAATATAAAAAAAAAAAACATATAAGCAAGATGTGTGTGGAGCCTCCACGCTTGTCAAAATATATTTGTTAAAATCCTATTTCTCACAAGCGTTAACCATTTACTTGCAAGTATCAAAAGGCATTCAACAGTGCAAACCCAAAAAGACATACGCATAGAACCATTGCCCAAACATCTGTCTTATAATGTTGGCAGGACCAGAGCCAAAAAGGGAAAAGGTATCCAAGAGTCAGTATTCAGCAGTAAAACATCACGTCCTTCACATTGTCTTTGATTATGGGGAGTTGCCTAACCTCCTTAGTTTTTTCCTTAGTAGTCTTGCTCTCGCCTGAAGAAGTAGCATCTGAAGATTCTCCTTCTATGTAGTACCTTGCTCGAAATGCAGCTAGATGTGCATAATAGGCAGGAGGCACTGCACAAAGACAACCAACATGTGTCAAGAACAATAGGAAAATAAATAACAATGAACTAAAAACAAGAGGCAATCAAAGCATCTTGCACCTATAGAGACTGATCGAGTACACCTTGCATACCTGTAAATAAGGACTAGAATTTATTAGATATTCTAAATCAGAAATTTTAACAACCAGATTATAAATAAGCATTTTAATTGTTTACGTGTAACATAGGTTGTTGGTCAACACTTGCAAGGCATCTGCAGTAAAACGGTTCTCATCATAAAGGACATGGTAGTGAGTAGGCCTACTGGTTCCCTGTAAAAGAAAAACAATCAAATTGACATAAGCATGCTAGTTGTCATTACTAGATTAGAGGTTACCATTCTTAAAACACAAGGTTATTAGTTCCACCAAATACAAGTACTCAGTAATTTACCTGAATTCCAGCATGGCTATTGAGATAAAAGTCAAACTCTGTAGGGTGGCATATATCAGTGTCAACAACAGTACCTAAAAACATGAAGATATTTAAACAAATTATGTTGGATAGATAAGAAGCAACTACAACAATCCATGTTATAAATATATATATATATATATATTACCAGGTCTAATATTGCCACTCCTATCAGTTTGATCACGACTATTATGTTCAAGAGGAAATAAGCGAGTATGATGCCTTTTCTGCACCACAATAAATGTAACTGGTGGCAAGTACCCCTCCTCCAATGAGCTACATGCCTAGAAAGAAGCAATTACAAGTGCTAGGATGAGTCAATGAAACGTACCATACAAATCAAGTGCAGTAAGCAGTATATATCACAAAATAATACATACATGCAAAGAACACTGCACTGGCATTTTTTGAAAATTTATGTATTCATTCAAATCTTCTGGTTTCTAGGCAAAAGGATAATCCAGCACATTTATTACAACAAGAACCACATACTAAACGAATAACTGCTCAAACTAAATACAACAATGATCCCTTTTTTGCAAGTAACATTGATTTTAAGCTTAGAGTTTGACACTACACTTTAGAACTCTCCACACAAATAATCCTAACCTAGATCTTCAATGGCCATTTAAAGAACAGGAACAACATTTCATATTGCATTGTCAGTAAGTTACCATTATACATTAGAATTAAATTAATCAACATGTAACATATAACTGTTGATCGAGTACTGCATTATGCTCCAAAGCAATCAAGTACACTTTAACATAAAAAGAACAATGGTAACTAAATGCAGAGCATGACTTCAATACTCTACAATGGTACTGACGATAAAACAGAGGTGGTGTACCTTGCACCAATCCATGCTAATCATGTAAACATTTAAAGAAACTAGCTACTCTTAAAAAATATAAATATATATACACCTTACGGATGGCATCCATTTCATGAAGTAGCACTTGACTGAATTGTCCCTCACTCACCCCATCTCTGACACATGAAATGATAAAGTCAACAAGGCTGGCAGACAGGTACTAAACAATCAAGTTTTTTAACTTTTTGAAACAAATTTTACCTGTAGAATATGATCCTCTCAGGTTTCCGTCCAGTTGACATCCTGAATGCCCTAAATAGTTCCCTGCAGGAAAGAGAGACAGAAAACCTGTCAGGGTAACTTAAAAGCAAGAAATACTGGTTGGGACAAAGATCCAGATACCATGTCATCCAAAAAACAAGAGAATGATAATATATTGTCAATCTCATACCTGATCATTCCACCATGAACTATTCCCCTCTGGGAATCCTGAACTGTTTTATAGAGATCCTGTATGATTTCCTCCCTGTGAGGTTGTGCAGATACAAGTCCTCGATATTTTGTCACCTCAGGCCAATCCATTGAAGCAACCACCTATACAGTTAACCAATCCCCGTTTAAAATTACAAGGACTAGAGAATGATATAAGTAATGTTCCAAGACAGCTTACTTACTGCTGCTATTGAAGGACTGGAATCCTCCCCTGGCTGGGGATGAGTGACATCAGCACCAAATATAATTGTAGGGCGGTCACTAACATTAGGAATTCTTCTTTGAATGGCATCATTCAACACAGTGTTTCGTCCTCCAACCTATTAAATTAATATTCTCAGAAAATATTACTTAAGTAAACAAGTGACAAGCAAGCAAACCATAAATGGCAATCACTAAAAAGGGTAGTGCAGAAGAAAACCTTCACATTTATCTTCAAAGAAACATTTTCCATATACTGTTTGTTAAGTTTTGCAACCTGCCTGGGCTGACAGCATTGTGATACAATTCCGAGTTCTGTCTCACAAATGCGTTTAATTTTCCCTACAAAACAAAAAAAATTCAGATACGCAGAAAAAGCTAGCCATTTTTTTTTGGCTAAAACAGAGAGCTTGTTTCATGCATAGATTTGGAAGGAAGTTCATGGTTATCTACCATAAGAACCGGTAACGTCAGGCAATATAATTATCAGCAACTGGAGATTGTGAGCCTGATTGTGTATCTCTGTAAGAGCCATTTCAATTTGACCACTCCTAAATGACTGCATAGGGACAATGGGTCTTGGATTAAATTCCTGTAAGTAAAAGCAAAGTGAATCAGAACATTAACTTTAAAAATTAGAAATTGCAAAAATGCAGCAATAAAGACCAAAGCACATACCATTCCTTTACTTCTACACATCTCCACCAACTGCTTACAAAAGTCAGACTGTAAGCGCTGGTCTACACTTGAAGAGAAGTTAACACATGTCCAAGAATCAACACGGCCACCATTGACCATTTTCTGTAAAAATATAAAATAAAATACAAAGTATCATGCAAGTTGCAAAATCAAAACAGATTCTGTAAACCTTGCACCAGCCAGAGAGGCAATGTATATTCGGAATTCAGAAAATCTATATTCTACCTTGTTAATCATATTCCATTGCCCCATTGAAGGATTAACCTCTCGTTCTCGGCCAGTCTCATGATATTTAAGCTACAGCATGCATCCAAAAAAGAAGTATGATGAACCAAAATCAGATTAAAGTAGAACCTAAAAATAACATACTTACCAATGGAGGAGGCAACACCCGAGCCTTAACAGAAGTAGGTTCTTCTCCAACTTGAACTCCAAATTCTCTTAGAAGAGAGTTTCTATTGAATTCGTTGTACCTAACCACCTACAACAACATTGTGTTGAGGAATAGGAATTTGTAAAAACATGATAAATATCAAGACCATGCAAATAATATTCCAAGAGTTAATACCCCTCTGATATTATTTTCTCGGTCTCTGGGGCGTTGACAGGTGGCCCTTAACAGGGCAGTTACTTGTCTTTCATTTAACTTTTTCGTGTACCTCTGTCCTCTCACAATTTTACATACCTTCAATATGAAGACATATTAGATAAGCAACATTCTAAGACAAAATAGTTCAGTGGTAAAAATGGAGAAAATGTAGTCTACATATTGAGAAAAGAGAGAGCAGAAACCTCCATTGGCAAATAGATAGGTTTTGCTTCAGTTCCAACTTGAAGGGCAGGCAAATCTGTGTATCTGAGCGCAATATTATATTTCTCACGGAAATATTGAACCACTGATATCTTTCTGCCCCTGTCATCTGTAAAACTAGTAAAAACAAAAGTGGACATAATTAAAAACTATTAATAAATTAGAAAACGCAATAGAACAAGAGCATAATTATGAAGAGAAATAAAGTATGTCTGATACCAATAACAACACCACTAGCATACCACATCAATTCAAGCAAGATTCCTAGCTATGAGAATCATATAAATAGTCTAACAAGAGAACTTCACTATAAGATTTCTACTTCCTCTTCTTATTCACATCTTCCTAGATAAGAAATTTGAAGACAACAATAGGCATTGCTATGAACCTAAGTACGGTTAAGTTCTGATAGTTAATGGGAGTCAGATAGGCTGTTTGTGTCGAACAAAAGAAGAAATTACTGTCCTAAGAACAGACCATATCAACTCCAAATTCCACCAAGAAGAAAGAATGACGACATGAAAACAGCTTTAATATAAACTCTGGAAAATGCCCAGTAAAACTACCATTAACAAAATATGTAAAACCTAGGTCCCCAAGAAACTAAAGAAAAATTCTTAACAATGTCATTCAAGAAGGTAAGAACAATTTCTTAGATGGTGGTATCTGAAACAAAGCCAGTTCCACAAGAAGCAGCCTCTAATAATCATGCAGTTGACCATGATATATCACACTCACGTTATCTGTCTTGTTGGCTCCCTTGATATGTCAGCTATCTTGTAGCTCCTAACATACTCCCTGTGAGTAAGTTCCACCTTTATGCCTCTCAATGCCCTTCTCGCCTGAAAACCATAATAGAAAAATAAATAAATAAGTTAGGAACCCTTAGGAATTTATTCATTTAAAAGTTAAAAATGTCAGCTAAATAATAAGAACCAGAAAAATGAAGACTAAAATTGCCAACAGAAGTAAAAGAAAAGTGACAAACTCTTAAATGAACCATAAACATGGAATGGTTTACACCTTGGAATTTACACAAAAATGAAATGTCAGTATCAAATAGAAGTGTCTCAAATGAAAGAAAGTGTTAAAAATACCTTTATGCGATCTTGGTCCGATAGAGTCCCTGGCAAGCTCCTCAAATTAAAATACTTTGCAATAAACTCAGTAACTAAAATCGGCTCATAGAAAGAACGAGCAGAAACATCTGAAAAACAAAATTAAATATTTGAAGATATGTCAGTACAAATGCAACAGAACAAAATAAGATGACCAATTTTAATCAGGTATGTTATATAAGCAGATAACAGACAATAGTGAAGAAATTACCTATGTTAAGAGAAAGACCCAGCTGGGTGGGACGGAGGCTTTGATAGTAACCCAGCCAATATTGAACGCCACCACCAAGCTCCCCTTCACTTCCAATGTCTTTAGAGAAAATAGACCTACCAACAACAATACAACTGGAAGAGGAAAAAAAGGGGTGAGGGGGGAATACAAATCAGAATAGACACGGAAAGGAAAAAAAAAAAAAGACTAAAATTTTGTAAGCATTAAAATGACTTTACTTTTCCCTTTGCATTGGAGGAGCCCTAAGAACAACATCAAGGGCTTGGATAGCATCTTGGGGAGAATCTGAATGCCTACCGCGCAAGAACTGCTGCAGACTATAAAGGTCAGGCTTTGAGGCCCATTTAATTGTCACTGTAAACTTGCGTTCTCTCCTGCATAAGAGACAAAAATTACAACCGGAAACTTGCACATGGAAGGGACAAGAAAAAAAACATATATATTACATATGACGAGATACCTAGAAGAACCGGACGATGAGCGAGCCTGACCATCATTCTCTGGTAACTTGACCACAAATTGCTTTGATTCAAATGGCAGTGCCCCAGCCGTGTATAGGCTCTTCATACCATCATATGCTGGAGTTCTTCTACCTAGATGTGACTCCTTATACATCTCAACGAGTTGAGCCATTATATCCCTGTTCACCTTCTTGGAAGTAACTTCAGGAGATATAGAAACCTGAGAAATTTGTAACATTAACCAGAAGCACAATACCCAAAAGCAAAGTAGAACAACGGACAACGGAACAGAACATGTAACAATCCACAAAAGAAACGAAATTTATGACTAGCCGGAAGCACAATACCCAAAATCTCAGACCAATTTCAGTAATGGCTTTCCAGAAAGTTATCAAATTTAACACAAGCAAAACAATTTTTTAAGTAAAACACTTACATCGTAGTGGTGAAGATCTTTCTCAGCTAGTTGAACAATAAAGTGGTTGGCTCTCACCATACACTTCCCTCCCAGAGTGCCATATCCAGGCCGCAGAGCCACCCTCACAGCCTTAGACGACGACGGAGGCGGCTCTGTCGCAGGCCTTGGCTCCAATGCAAGCTGCTGCGTTATCTGCAGACTTAGATCTCCCACATTGAAACTTGAGCCCGAGGGGACAGACGGATGAGACGGCCCTGACGAGGATGATGGCGATTCAGTTACCGGAGGAGTTACCGGTACGGAAACAGTCGGAGGAGGCTGCGTAAAACCAGGGGATGGAGATCCAGGGACACCGCGTCCCCTGCCAGCGCCTACTCCTCCATCACCACCACGACCACGACCACGACCACCACCGCGACCACGACCACCACCAACGCTAGATGCAGACTGTCCCGGCGATTGTGACTGGCCGCGGCCATACTCCTGCCGCCGGCCACCTCTGCTCCCACCACCGCCACGGCTAGACATTGTGGCCGATTTTAGAGAGAGATTCTCAATTTGGTATGCTCAGAGAACTAGAAGAGAGGAAATGAGGTGGAAAGCCCACAACTTAGAAATGCATATATATATATATATATATAGAAGAGAGAGGAAGCACGGCGACCAAGAAGACGAAGCGATTCAGAGACGTTGAAATAGTGAAGAAAATGGAGTAAGCGACAGGGACGGCAGTTGCTCGGACGGTTTAGTTCTATCCTTTTCCCTGTAATTCCGGATGTATCCTCCGCATCACTACTGCCTTCTTCCGGAAGCTACGTATTTTAGGAGGTTAACCCAATCCCGCTTTATAATTTTTAAAATTTTTTTAATTAATGATTTTCAGTTTTCTTTCCTTGGGAATATAAAGGGATTTTTCTTTTATATTAAAGGAAAGAGAAGTGAATATTAAGAATGCGTAATTAATTATTACAAAATTTCTTTTTTTAGGGTTATAACTTAGGTTGTTTATAAATTAATTTTTATGTATGGTAATTTTAAAAGTGTGTTCATATACATCTAATATATTTAAATTAATTAATTACTGATTATTATAAAAATTCTTTTTTTACTATGTTGTCTATAAATTAAATTTTGTGCATGGAAATTTTAAAAGCACACCCATATTTATCTAATGTATTTAAATAAATTAATTTCTTTTTGTACTAATCCAAAACTTAAATTTTATACTTGACCCATAAAATTATAAATGTTTGTTAGTGTATCTAAGCTTTAGAGTTAAGTAAAACATTTTCTTTAATGATTGTATTTGGAAGTTTAAATTGGATTTTGCCATGAAAGAGGAAATAGTAAAATAAAGAAAAATGAGGGAGGATTGAAAAAATAGTTACATTTATATTCAACATCAATTTATATTCAATTCCTCAACAATGAACACAAGGTTCAAGTTCAAATTCTACATAATCTATCTACTAATACTAAATTACTAACAAAACTACTAACATGCTACATACATATAGGAGTCTTGCTAATAATCTATGGATGTGTTAGTTTTGTCCCATTCTAGATGCTCTTATATGTTTTTTTAAATATATATACATTATATTGTTATTTATATGTTAATTGTAAGTTGTACAATGAGTTTGATATAACCATTGCAATACAACATAGATTTGAAATGAAATTTTTAATGTTTAGAAATTATTGCTAACAAATATATTTTTTCCTTATTATATAAATTTTTAGTCACAATAGAAAAAATGTAGGTGTATTATTTGAATATAAAGAGGTCGAATGAGTAAACTTAATCTTGATCTCTTGAACTTGCAATAACAAGACTTGTTAACAAGAGAAGTTTATCAATTAACTATTTGTGATTAAAAAAATTGTAAAATGAATGCAATATTTAAGGCATGATATGAACCAAAAGTCAAATATAAAGCCGATGTGTTTTTACAATAACATGGCTTTAAAAGTAATTAAATATATCTGGTGAAATTTGTAAAAATTTTTTATTTTTTATATTATTTATGAATGAAAAATTTAAAAATTATTCTTAAAAAAAGTGAGTAAAAAATTTTATAAAAAAATATAAATTTAAAATTTTTTAAAATTTACTATTTAAAATTTTTTTAAAATTAAATAATATAAATTTAAAACAAATAAATTTATAAAACATAAATAATATAAAAAAAAAAACTAAAACTTTCAGAAGTTTCATCAAACATTCCGATTGTTGTTCAATAACTTTTCAACATTTGAGGGCCATGTATTTGTGCATCAAAAATTCTTCAAATGATGTTGTAAGCAGTGTCCTTGCAAGTGATATTTATATCATTTGTATTATTATAACTTTCAAAATTACTCGGGTTGCATATAAAGACAAGATTTTGGCTCATCAAAAGCATACAACTTTGTCCGAGTAGACCTCACAAAAAAAAGAAAAGAAGCTCGTAGTATGAGGTGAGAAGTTCAGGCAGGGGTACAATTGTCTTCGCAAGAAAAATTTGGGAATCGTAAACGTCACCGGTGGTAGGACATTCCATGTGAGCTGGCAGTCTACTGTATTGCCACATCAAAAGCTATTTCACAGTTAACAACGCGACAAATATTCCTTTCCCGTACATGGAAACATCTAAGAAAAAGAGGATTAACCTCGCGGAAATTTTAGGCTATACTTATGCACACAAAAATTCCTTACTCGAATTTTATTTTTTTTTTAAATTTTATCAGTTTATTATTGTCATCATATTGTTAAATATTAATGTATAAATTAATTTTAAATTATTAAATAATAAATATTAATTAATTAATTATTATTATCATCCATTTTTATTTTCAATAATTAAATTAATTTTTTTAATATGATTATAAATTATATAAAAAAAATATTTATTTTTTATTTTAAAATTTTTTTCACTTGATTTAAAATTAAAAATTAAAAATTTTAATTTCAAATTTTAAAATCTTAGTCGTTAATGTATCTTATTAAAGTTGATTAAATCAATATGTATAATATTATTGGGTGAACTTAACATTTATGGGAGTGTCAATTCCCATGTGAGGAATATGGAGAAGAAGCTGTAATGTCCTCAGGCGTGAAGAGGGGTTACGAATGGAGATTGGTGGACGACGTTCTTAACCAATTGGAAAGTCTTTGGTAGGGTGAACAATGTCGTTGTTGATAATTTCCCCTATAGTAGAAGTTTCAAGGAAATAGAAACCCAAATTCAGCACTGCCTTCCTCGGAGGGTAAGGTAAGGTAAGGTAAGGGAGGGCTGCTTGCTGGTGGACCCAACCTTTTTAAGAAGGACCTTTTTTTGGGGTCATTATTTAATAATATATATCTTCAGAAGGAAAGGAAAGGGCTGCCCGTACGAACGGGGGCCCTACTTTATATTCCAAAACCCCGACCAAAGGTCAGT